CTTGGTAGAACACGTGCTTCGCCTGTGTGAGGCCCTGGGTTTCATCCCTGGCACGAAAAACAGTAAGAAAAAGGAATATCCATGATCACAATGTCACGAATGGCTCAAAACCTGATGCATTTTATGGAGGAAAAAGCGGTCTCTCTTTTTGTCCGGTTATACAAGTTAATGGATAACAGTGGCCATTTTTCCTATGCCATTCTTTTTATTGAATCCTAGGAAGATTCTCAAAATTATAGCTCTTTTGTGGTTTTCTTCATTAGAATGGACAGGAAAATTGTAGTGTTTCACCTTTTGAAATTTTAATAAAATTTTATTTCTATTATCGATTCTTTTTTAAACTCCTAAAAAAAACAATCTGATAGACTTGATTATGACATCTTTTCTTTTCTTATATTCTACTTGTGGACATAAAGCTTTTTTTTTTTTTTTTTTTTTTTCGTTGGGGAAAAAAAGTTTTTTTTTTTTTTTTTTTTTGTGGCGGTTCTGTCGATCAAACTCAGGACCTTGTGCTTTTGAGCCAGGCATGGTGCCACTGAGCTAAATTCCTGGTCATAAAGCATTAAAGAAAAGATCCTCAAAGTCTGTGGCAGGACAGAGTAAAAGGCCCAAGTTTCAATTTCTGAATAACTCAAAGTGACCCCTATTCTAAGAACATGGACTGCATTTTCCCCCATTATTTTAACAACAGTTTTTCATTTTTCACACTAAGTATATGATCATCGATGACATTTGGAGGTACTAACCTCCAACCCAAAAGTTTCTTCTAAATCATAAAAAGAATGCTTGGTAAGCATAATAATTATAATCATACCAACTCCCTCCCAAATTATTCTAGAAATTCAAGGGTATGCTCATCAAAACCCTAAGTGTTTTTGGGGGAGAACTTGACAAAAATTCATACGAATGTATGAAAGTGGCCAAAAGAGTAAAACAATGTTTATCCCTTTTTGGGAGGAGGTTGCCTGTATGCTAAGCACATTGTCTGGCGAAGCCCCATCTGGCTCCCATCAAGAAAAGTGCAACACTTATGAAACTGTGGCATTTGATAGTAGATCCATGATAACATTTGCTTTGATTGTGCTTTATGGCTTTAAAATTGTTTTTATATATGCTTTCTTACTTGATTCTTTTTTGTTTTTGAGGCAGGGTCTTGCTATGTATTTCAGGCTGGCTTTGAGCTCACTATGTAGCCCAGGCTGGCCTTGAACTTTGCTGGGATCCTGCCTCAGCCTCCCGAGCGCTGCGGTCACGGGGGTGCATCCCCATGCCCAGCCTAGATAATCCTTGTATTTACTTTGTGGGCAGATATTATTATATTATTTCCAAATATGAACACTTTTGCTTCCGGGAATCACTGAATCAATGAGATTAAAAATCCAGCTATACTGGCTTTAGATGCCATATCTTATTAATTACATCATAGCTGCTATAATATAATTATATGTAGTAAATAATTCATAGAAAATATTTTATGTGAATGCTCAGCAAATTCTGATTTCCAGATCATTGAAGATAATTTACTACATGTGCATTAATTACATGTTCAAATATATCTGTAAACTAAAGGACATCTTGTTTCTTTAAATTAGGTGTGCTCTAGGCTGCCAAGTCTGCCAGAATTTAATCAGGTGAGCCTTAAACTGCTTTTTAACTTGATGTGCTGTTTAAAACTCATTGGGGAAAAAAACAAAACAAAACAAAACAAAACAAAACAAAACTCACTGGGTGCTGGGCATGGTGGTGCGTGCCTGGGATCCCAGCACTTGGGAGGCTGAGGCAGGAGGGTCGCTGTGAGTTTGAGATCAGCCTGGGCTACATAGTGAATTCCAGGTCAGTCTCAACTACATAGTGAGACCCTGTCTCAAAAAACAAAAACAAGAAACAAAAAACTCATTGGGATGATGTCTTTATATTGGGAGTGCAATGCTGTAAGGCAGACGCTGCTGCTTGTCCCAGGGGAGTTTTACAAAAGAGGTTGTTTGTGAGGAAATGATTGAATGTCATTGGATACTTGAGTGGCTGAAGATGTAAATGGTGAAGGCTTTTGGCAAGAGCTTCATCCAATGGAAGCACTTGCAAAGCGTTAGATTTTCATTTTACTGTTCATTTCATTTTCTCACATTGTGCTTAGAAGGAAGGAAGCTGTTTCCTATAGACAGCATGGTATTTGCTCTGTGGCTTTTTAGTTATCTAAAAATAATTAAAACTCAATATATTTTAAAATTTCAGATGGTTCAAAAGTGAAGTGCAAGTAATGTGTATATGTAGCAAACAAGTGCAAAAATAGTTGTATGTCAACTAAAACTTGTAGTACAAAAAAATTTTAACGGTGATGTTTGTTTTACATTATGTGTTAGTAATTGGCTTTACCTTTCTTTATCATCGGTGGGAGGGGAAATGAAAGTTCCTTGATTCTAATCATATCTTAAAGTTTATATTATGAATTGAATCAATGTTAAATTTATTTTTGAGAAAAAATTAGAATTCTCAGTTTTGAGAATCCTGGGGAAAAGAAAACATGCAAAGGTTTCAGAGTGTTTGTGATCCACTTAGTAAGCTCTAAAGAGCTGTTTAACTGTTGGTGGCTGTGGTCATCGTACTTAGGACACCAGTAAATTTTCCTGGATTCGGGAAACTTGTGGCTATTTTTAGATTTTCCCCAAGAAGAACATTGATGTCTTCCACTCCACGTGTATGAAACACCTTCCAGATGCCTCACTATCAGTAATTATGGGTTTATTCTTTCTTCTTGCACTAATTTCAGTTGTCTTTTACTTTTTCGTGACCTACACACAAAATCCTAGAATTTGAGAAGTTTATTTTCTAGAATGTTTGTCCATAAATTGGGGTGAATGAACTCTAGATTTAAAACAGTCCAAGCTGGGTGTGGTGGCGCACGCCTGTAATCCCAGCACTCGGGAGGCTGAGGCAGGAGGATTGCTGTGAGTTCGAGACCAGCCTGAGCTACATAGTGAGTTCCAGGTCAGTCTCAACTACGTAGTGAGACCCTGTCTCAAAAAACCAAAAAAAAAACAAAAACAAAAACAAAACAAAACAAAAAAAACCAAAAACCAAACAAACAAAAAAACCCAGTCCATTAGAGTTTCTTGAAGAAAGATTAGAATTTGCATTTCTATTTTTTAAAATTAAAACTTACTAATGTATTTTAAAATTTCACATGGTTTGGAATATAAGTATCAAAAGATGTAAGGTGAAAAATGTCACAGGGGAAAAAATCTCCCAGCCGCTCTTGCTTGTGGGGAGGACGCGGGCCAATTCCCTTCTCTGACTCATGGTTTGTTTGTTTGCTTTTGTACCACGGATCAAACTGGGGACCTTTCGCTTACAAGGCGGGCGGCAGAACCATTGAGCTAAATCCCCAGCCATGGTTTCCACTAGTACTAGAGTTCTGGGATTCCTTTCAGGGTTTTTAATTCACACGGATCAAATGAAATATATGTTTTAATTTTTCTCTGTTTTGCATAGGCGTTAAGGCCGTAGCAGAGGATACACCTTGCACACCACGATGAATTTCATTGTTCTCATTTTCTCACACACACACAGAGGCTCCTTCCGTAACGGGAAAGAGAGCTTTCCTCGTATTTTTACAGAACATAGGTGTGTCATAAATGATCTCTTTGGTTCTCTGTTGATGGACCCTCAGGTTATTTAGTTATTTGCAGTCTTTTCCAATTGTAAACAGGGCAGCAATGAATGATGTGGACCACCTATGAGATGTGATTGAAACACACAGTGAATATTTAAATTAAACCCATTCGTTACAGTAAAAGACACAGCGCCATAAATCTCAGAATTTTCCCCTCTCTTTGAGCACACCGAACCCACGGTCCTCCGCGCGTTCTGAAGCAGTGTTCTGCGGCTCCTTTTGCATCGTCAGTTGCACTGTTGTGGTTGCCTCCGTGCCCTGAAATAATTCACGTGTTTACTCCTCATGGCCCTTTTCACTTTGGGAAGAGCCAGAAGTCACACGGTGCCACCTCTGAGGAACAAGGAGGCTGAGGACACACTGTGCTGTCCATTGGGTGGCACTGAATTTTGATCCCAACTCTTTTTAAAGACAGTCCTGAAAGAGGACTCCCAAGATGGCTTCAGAAAGTGACAAGGACAATGACGGTAGGATGATTAAGACATGTGTATGTGTGCCAATGCCCCCAGATGGATGCGATCCTTATGTATTGCAAGTATGTGCCAGTGAAAAAAGAAAATGCCAGGATAAATGTTTGAAGAGAGATGAATACATTTTAATAATTGAAATGTTCGCTGTGTATTTTGATCACAACGCATAATTGAAACATACCTGTCTCACTCTGTAGTTCAGGCTGGCCCTGCACTCATTATGTAGCTCAGGCTGGCATCCAGCTTGAGGCAATCCTCCTGCCTCTGCCTCCCGATTACAGGAGTGAGCCACCATGCCAGTCTTTAACTAATATTCAAATGTGGATCGACGGTAATATATTATTTAAAAACAAATATGTTCTGGGCTACCAGGGCTACATAGTGAGACACTGTCTCAGAAAAAAAAAGTATGTATTGGGGTGAATGCTCAAAGGAGTTTTGCTGTGATGAAGTAGTCTACTGTCATGTTTTGGGCCATACTGGATTTGATTTTGGATTGACCCAGGGCCTTCATATTGAGCTGCAACCCCACCCCTTTTCTATTTTTTATTTTGAGACAGGGTCTTGTTAAGTTGCTAAATTACTGAGGCTGGGCTTGAGTTTATGATCCTCCTGCCTCAGCCTACCAGAGTGCTGCTATTATAGTCACGCGCCATCATGCTGGCTATCTTCCCACATTTGACTGTGTACCATATGGCCTTACTGAAAGTGTCTCTACTTTACCAGTGATTAAGAAAGAAATAGCGAAGCTCTAAAGTTGCCATTAGACTTTTTCTTTGGTGGGGGGTACTGGGGATTGAACTCAGGACCTTGCAATTGTGAGGCAGGCGGTGGCTCCACTGAGCTAAACCCCAGCCCTGCCATTATACTTTTTAAATATATTACTGACACTTTTATGTCTTCAGAGGTATGTCAATGTGCTGGTTTCACTCTTACTTTTTTCTTTTTAAGATCTAACTGTGTAGCCTGTCATGTCCTTGAACTTTTGATCCTCCCGCCTCAGCCTCCCAAGTACTTAGGTTGTAGGTGTATGTGCCACTTTGGCTGATTTTCATTTTTCCAAGCTATGATACTTTCAAATTATTTTGTTAAATTCAGTGAGTTTAAGAATATTTGAACTGACCACGGTGGTGCATGCCTGCAATCCTAGTACTTTGGGAGGCTGAGGCAGGAGGATCACAAGTTGGAGCTCAGCCTAGGCAATTAAGTGATTGATTTATTTAGAGCTTGTCTCAAAATAAAAAAATGAAAAAATGGCCAGGGTCATAGCTCAGTGCAAAGCTCTGCTTCAATCATCCCTACTGAAAAAAAAAAAAAAAAAGATTAAGATTTATTAAGTTTCAAGCTTGCCTCAATTAACAATTTGAGTAAAGGAAAGTTTTTTGTATGGAATTATTTATTATTTGTTTTTCTTCTAGCCTGAAACATATCAGGCTAGAATCATTTCATGAAAGATTTACCTGAGTAATTTCTTTGTTGGTAGTAGGTATGCAGAGATACGATTTTTTTCATTGTGGAAACTTACAAAGTTTAATATATTCAAGTTTTTACTTTTCCTTGATATTTATAAAACATGAGAAGTACATCATTCTTTCACAAATGATAATTACTATGTTTTCTGCTAGGTTTTTTTTTGGAGGGGTTTACTGGGGATTGAACTTGGGTCCCTGTGTTTGCGAGGCAGGTAGTGGAACCACTGAACTAAATCCCCAACCTTCTGCTAGTTTTTATAAGTTTAGTTATATAAAAGATTAATCTAGTGAATTTTTTGAGTTAATTTTGTTACATTGTAGAAATTATGGCTATTTATAATTAAAATTTAAAAATCTCCAATGGCAATTATATGTGTTTAACTCCCCTCTTTAAAGTTGTATTATATATTAATATTAATTTGTTATTTATCTTTATAGTTAGGTCTCTTGGCTTTTTTCGTGTTTTTTTTCTCATTGAGTTTATTGGTACATTTAGGTATATAGTACAGTTACATTCATCACTGGGATCTTGTACCTTTATATGACAGGTCTTGATTCTCATTTTCCCCCTTTCATGGCTTTTTTCTAAAGATGGTTTTATTTGCAATGTCTTGAATGCTACGTCTTATTTTGCACTGATTAACATCCTTTAACTTTTATGTTAATAATGTGTTTTACATGAGGACATCGTCTTACTGTCCTTAAGTAGGGCATATCAGATATATTTTAGTTTTTTACAAACTGCTTTATTGTGGTATGCTAGGCCTTGAATAAGCTGCAATATTTATATAGTTTTTTAACCCTTTTAACCACTCTAAAATGTAGCATACAATAGGATTTAGCACTTTCATATGCCGTGGATCTCTAGAACTTTTTCATCTTGAAAAACTGAAACTCGGCATTAATTAAATGACTTTTAGCTGGTCATGGTGGTGCACGCCTGTAATCCTAGCACTTGGGAGGCTGAGGCAGAAAGATCACCATGAATTTGAGGCCAGCTTGAACTACATAGTTAGTTCAAGGCCAACCTGAACTTCATAGGCAGACCCTGACTTAAAAAGGAGGGGAAAAATGACTCTCCCAAGCCCTTGACAATCACCATTCTGTTTTCCATCTCTAGTAGTCTGACTTCTTTAGGTACCTCATACAAGTGGAATTACAGTATTTGTGACTGGCTTGTTGAACTCAGGGTAGTGTCCGCAAGGTTAATCTGTCTTGTTGCATGTCAGAATGTCCTTTCTTTCTAAAGCTCCATTGTATATAGAGACCACATTTTATTTATCCAAGATCCATAAATTGATATTCGTGTTTCTTCCACCCATGGCAACTGTGAGCAATGCTTCTATGAACATGCATACACAATAGACTTTTAGGGTTTGTTTTTTTTTAAACATACACCAGATAGTTCTTCTGTCCAGTCAAGGGAAAAAACAATGAGGGTATTTCTAAACTTAGAAGAAAATTCAATGTTTAATCTAATGTAAGTTTGTGAAATTTCCTTTTTCATTGCTGGGATTGAACCCAAGGCCTCAGCGCAGGGGAGGTGAACGCTCTACCAAATTAACTACATTCCTAACCCTTTTAGTTTTGATTTTGAGATGGCTCTTGCTTATTTGCCCAGGTTTGCCTTGAACCTGTGATCTTCCTTCCCTAACTGCCCAAGAAGCTGGGAAGATAAGTGTGTACCACCACCCTTGGCCAATGTGAAATTTAAAGAATTATGGCCTCTCTATATTATTCTAGGAAAATGTAGAAACATTATGTCTCTTTCTAATCTGGTTTGTTTTCCTGAATTCAGGTGCTACTGTGGCCGATTGATTCAAGACCATCATGGGATAGATTATGCCTGGCCCCTCTCAGCTGCCAAGAAAAACAAACATGAGCAATGGTCTGTTGAAAAGCACACAGTGAAAAGCCCTACAGATACCTTTGGCACTATTAATTTCCAAGATGGAGAACACATCTACCACTCCAAGGTTTGCTAATAATCCACACGGTTTTGCTGGTTTTGCATAGAGGACGGCCTGCAAATGTATCTCCAAGTGTAGACAGACACCGAGATGACTTTGCTTTATTGCAGAAAAGATCTACGTGATTGATCTCCTTGTCAGAATTGGCCTGATCCTATCTGCTCTTGGTGTCTGATGTGTCCAGATCTTATTGGACTGGTTTCTTTCAGCAAGCTTTCACTCCCTCTGCAGAAGAGAATGGTTGATAAGCCAATTCCCAAAGGACTGGCCTTTCCTTAAAGCACATAGTGCATTACCACTCGGGGGCAGGCTGTGCCAGTCTGTTTGCCAGTATTGTAGCAGGTATCTGGAGAGAGGTCTGCTTTGGCTTGCGGTTTTAGTGGTTTCAGTTCACATTTGTCCTTGTTGCTTCAGGTCTACAGGAAGGCAGCAACTATGGCAGGGAGCACACGGAGCAGCAAACTATTCACTTCACAGCCAGGTGTGAAAAAGCAGAGACTGGCATCCCATCATCTCTTCCAAGGTCACACTCCCAGTGACCCAAAACCTCCCAGTAGTGCCATGGGACGGGGACCAAGGTTTTAACACGTGGGCCTTTGGGAGATATTTAAGAGTCAAACTGCAGTGGGGGCTTTAGCCAGAGACTAACCCAGTAACTTGTTACTGTTCATCTCTCCTAAGTTCTTGAGAGGGTCGCTCACATTTTGTGATATACCTTCTGAATGCTAGTACTTGGGCTTTCCCAGCTAATTTTCCTCCTATCCTTAATAGGGTAATTTTGCTCATGATTTGCATAGTGCTTTAGTTCTCTTTTTGTCACTGTGACAAAATACTCAAAGCCATCAATTTAAGAGGGGAAAAAAGAGGAAAGGCTTATTTTGGCTTACAGTTTCAGAGGTGTTAGTCCGCGGTCACTTGCCTTGTTGCTTTCGGCCTCGCATTTATGGCAGGAATGTGTGGTAGAGGAGATCTGTTCACTTCACGGTTGCAGGGAAGCAAAAAGAGACAGGAAGTGGCCAGGATCTCAATATCCCCCTCAGGGACAGACCCTCAGTGACCCAGGTTCCTTCCATTAGGCCCTAACCCCGGAGGGCTGGCAGCTAAACCTTTGAGACCTGGGCCTTTGGGGTGCTCCTGGCAATCTGTAGCACATTAGTTTTTGCTGGTCAGCCATCCCTCTTCTGTGTGCTTTGTGCATGTTAAATGCCTGCTGCTTATTAGAGCAGATAAATCCCACCGCAGAGAAAGCTCCAAATCAGATGTACCTGGAGTATGAGTATCAGTTCACTAGATTTGAAATGTCTCTCCTAGTGCAGTCCTAATACTTTGTTATAACGCAGTTCTGCATTAATCTACATTTTTAGTAATTAGTCCTCTTGCACCTTGTGTATTGATGTTTTCTTTGGTAGGGAGAAAACTTGACCTTTTTACTTGTGTGGAAGCTGATTCTTGGAGAAGCCTGCAGGTACTTTTCCCTTTGAGTTTGTCTCTTCTTGCTTTTATTCTTAATCACACTCATTTACACCATTTTTGTGCACCCAGGAAGTATCTATTGGGTGCCTATACTTTCCGTGTCCCATCACTTACTGTCTAGTGAGGGAAACAGGAAATGACTACAACTGTTGCAGAGGGGAGGAAGCTATGAAAACAAGTGACAGGTTCTTTGAGAGCATGACTTTGCTATTTTGGGGGCGTCAATGTCCTGTGTGACAAGAAGGCCATCAGATAGGAGGGACAGCTAGACTGAGACTTGAGGGGGAGGGCAGTGAGTTGCTTGTGCAAAGGTCAAGGGAAGCCGAACACTGTGTGCCTAGACAGAGCTGATCAGTAGCGGGATTGTGCTTAGTGTTCAGCTCTTGGTGCCTCGGTGCGTTTGACTGGACATCGGGGAAGAGAAGAGGCCACTCAGGGCCCAGATCGCTTGAAGTTTCAGTGGCTCAGCGGGAAAGGTTGGGCTGCGTTTCCTTCGCAGAACTCCTCCCGTCTCATTCCACGCCCATCTCATATGAATCCCCCTGCCTGTTGGACTCTGCCTAAGGGAATTAATTATAAAGGCGGTAGAAGGACTAAAGTGAGTCATTAACCTTAGTGTCGTCTTCAGCTGGCCTTTGGGAGGAGGACCCGTGCTGATAATTAAGTTAGTGCCTCATACGGCTTATCCCAAAATGTCAAGGAGCAATATCTCCTAGGACTGAGGAGATGAAGCCCTGAGAGGAAGACCTGGAGTACGGACGAGGTGAACGACACCAGGGGAGACTCCTTTGCCCAATTCGTGACGTGAAAAAATGCAAGGGTCCACTTGTACTCTTCTCTGCTACTTCAGCGTGCGAGGAAGCCACAGCATGAGCGTCCACGCGTGTAAACTGAATCACGATCATCTTTAGATTCGTTCTGATGCTCTCGTTTCATGTTAGCTGCACCTTCCTGATGTTCAAAATTCCAGTATTTGCATTGCGAATCAGGGATGTCTTTAGAAGCTGAGGGATGTCTTTAGAAGCTGGGCGATGAGTGTAAGGTTTTTAAAACTGGCTATCGTTAGGAGGATGGTGCTGTAATTCCCCTTGCAGGTCTGGAGATTACCGCCTGTGTTAATATTTGGCATGATTTGTGATTCACTGCATTTGGATTTCCCTTCTTTCTTTCTTTAAATGCTGCTTATTCGCGCTGGGTTAGGCATATGCTTGTGGAAGTAAACTCTTCTCAGTGTTACAGGATTTCAGTGGCTCATGTGGCCGTGGCAGCGCTTGCTGGAAAGAGGAAGCCAGTCATACCGTGTAATCCTAGTCAAAATGCAAAATGATTGGAGTGCTACTCGCTGGTTTAGATTTCCCTCATCTTTGCTGTCTGTTTCACATTTTTCCATATTGGTTACACAGACTAATGGGTTTCATTTTGGCAGATTCGTAGTGCACATAATGTGCTTTGGTCATTTTCAACCTTCCTTCCCTTGAATATTGAGAGATAATTGTTCTGTGAATAGTATCTTGCTTGTTTTTTTTTGAGACAGGGCCTCACTATGTAGTTCAGGCCTGCCTCGCACTTGGGGCAGTCCTGTCACTGCTGGGATCACAGGTGTGTGCCACCACACCTGGCTGACAAGTATTTATTTTGGAAAAGAAAATGATTTCAGAGTGGTAATAGTACATAAAGGAAGTGGTTAGAAAGTAAAATTAGATGTAATTATCCAAATATGTGATGAAAAGATCAAGTAAACCAAAAGCTGTAGCATTGATGATAAATCACATTTCACCTACGTACGGCTTGTTCTTAACAAGTTTGCTGATGTAGCGCTTTTGCCAATTATTTGAAGTATTTCCGCCTCATCTCAGACCTTCTGCGGGGCACTGGAGACCAAAGCCTGCGGCCAGAGAAAACTTGTGTACAGTGACTTACAAATACAAGGAATTTCAAGGCACTGTGGGGTCTTTGGAAAGTTAATATTTCTGTTGTGTGAAGATTAACTTTTAGAGAGATGCCAGACACTACCTTTCTGGTCTTAGCCATTTCAGATACCCTGCTGTGGCTTATTGTTTCTCTACTTGGCACGTGTTTTTCACAATTCTCTGTTCATGTACCTGTCTTCCAGTACATTCGAACTTCTTACGACACCAGGATGGACCATCTGCTACATTTGATGTTGGAAGAGTGGAAGATGGAGTTGCCCAAGCTGGTGATCTCTATCCATGGAGGTGTCCAGAACTTCAAGATGCCCTCCAAGCTGAAAGAGATCTTCAGCCAGGGTTTGGTCAAAGCTGCAGAGACAACGGGAGCATGGGTAATAACGGAAGGCATCAACACAGGTAGAATACGTTTGTCCATAGCTTCCGTCTCTCCCTGCCCGGCTCTCCCCCTCTCCCTTCCTCTCTCTTCCTTTTCTCTTTCCTCCTTACTTCCCTCTTCCCTTCCTTCTCCCTGCTGTGAACCAGGCAGAATGGCCTCAAATCCTTCCTCTGCTCACTTCCCAAAAATATGATGATCGGGCTGGGGATTTAGCTCGGTGATTCTGCCGCCTGCCTCACGCGCAGGGATCAGAGTTCGATCTCCAGTACCAAAAACAAAACAAAACAAAACAAAATCCAGAAATTACGATGGTGTCAGAAAGAGAGACAAAAAGAGTGACTTAGTGACTAGAACCCAAGTCCAGAAGAATCACAGGCCTTTTCTGGAATGTGTTTTCATCATTGTCAAAACATGTTATTTTAACAACTTTGAGTAAACTTCTGGCACAGAAAACAAATTTTTCCTGAGCTGCAGTCTATTCAACCAAAATTCTTGAGAGCAAATGATCTCTGAAATGGAAGAGTTGATGGCACCATCGCAGATGCCAGCCAGCAAAGGACTTGGTCCCTCATCAAGTCCTGTACCTACTAGCAGCAGTGCTAGGGTGCAGTTGGAAATGTATCTGCTGGAGGTAGGAGGCGAGGGCGATCTTATAATGAGGCTTCGGGGAAGAACAGCACCTTACTTCTATTGAGCTTGTATCAGCTGTAGATGAGAGGTGTGGGTGATCTGCAGGGCGGAGAGAAGAGTCCATGGCAGTATCTGTTGCTTCTGGATTGGTTGGGGACAACACACTGGCAGTTAGCCAGCCACTGGGGGTCTTCAATCGACACACATTAAAGAGTGTGGAACAGGCTTTTGTTGGCTTCAGTCTTTAGCTGTGAATGGATTCATTTCTCTTATCTTTCCCGCTTCCATCATCTGGCCCTTGTAATGAAATTTGGACCCTCTTGGAAATCATCTTTTGTCAGGACTATTGGGAGGTTGCCGTGATCTCAGTCAGAACTGTGTGAGCGTGCAGCTCATGTGGGTCTGGACGTGATGTAAATTCTTGCAGTCCTTGTCAAGCTCTCGGGTGTTGGGAATGAATGATGCACAGAAGTTGAGTTGATACATCAGGTGCGAGTAGACAATTACTACTTTTTTTTGGTACCAGGGATCGAACCCGGGTCTTTGCACTTGCGAGGCAGGCAGCGGAACCACTGAGCTAAATCCCCGGCGACAATTACTACTTTTAAAAACAAACCGTGATTGTCCGTTCCGTACACTCACCGTCTCTGTCACTGACTCTTTTATAGTCCTTGAAGTGTGACATTCAGGAATCTTGTTCCTTTGCATCACTCCATGAACTGTCTACATATTAGAGTCACTTGAGGGGGATTTTGAAAAAGTCAACGGCACATACTCTTCCCTAGGTGAATTTGAGGCTATCGGGGCATAGCTTGAGTGTCACTTCTGGAGCCAGCCAGGCTTGAGAACAACGGACTCCACATCCTCTGTTCTCTGTCCCGTCGGCTACTAACCTGTGGCTTTCTGTTGCCTCTTTGCCTTTTCCTTTTTGGGTATGAGACGCCCTAGCCAATGCTTCAGATTGAATCCCACCCATCCATGAGGATCAACACAGATGACTGTGCACCCATGAAGCGGCCTCTTTTATCTCAACTAGAGCTATACGCTTCTGTCTGATTTCTACAGCAGTGGCTGCCTGTAGCTCTTGCCGTGTGTCTGTATTTGCCTCCCATTTAGAAGAATCCGGGCATCAGCTCTCTTACCTGGTGGTGGGTCACAGGCCGGTGTAGACATTCGCTAAGATTTGGCAAAATGTACCCATTCAACCATTGCTTTTGGCTGAAAAGAAAAGAAGGGAGCAAATTACAGAACAGCAAAAACAAAATAAAAACCCACAAAAAACTGAAACAAATAAAAATAAAACCAAGGGATGTAGTTCATCTTGTACGCTTTTCAGAAACTATTTCGCGTTCATGGAGTAAACTATGTGAGCGGCGTCCCCAGTCCATGGTATAGCGCTTATTTTATTTCCGGTGAAAAAGAGGGCGAGGTAGGGAAGTTTTGCAGAGGTAAGAAGAGCAGACTTGGACAAAGCTTTCTCTTTGAATAACTAACTACATGGCATACTTTATTTTACTTAATGCCTTTTTAAAAAAAGAAAGTGGAGGCTAGGGCCAGCTAACTTAAAGGGAAATATATTGTGTAGTGTGCAGATGGTTAAAATCATTCATGTGAATAAAACAAATGGGAAATGAGGAGCACTTGGCGCTTCCCTAACCCGCAGTGGGGTTGGCTCATTCAGCCACAGCCTCCAGGGCCTGGCAATCTGAGGAGAAGACCCCGAGCAGGAGCAGCCACACCGCCTCTCAGCTCCACCCCAGACCTGCAGAAGCAGAGCTTGCATTGTAACAGCACCCTTGGATGGTTCTCATGAATATTTGAACTTGAAAGGCTCCCCTTTCGAACTCCTTGAGATGCTTCTGAACTATAATTGAACGTAATTGGGCATGACAATTACATCAAATGCCATGGGCCTTCAGAATCTGCCCTGTAGGAAGCATTTGAATAGGTGCTTGGAGAAAAGATGAGGAACATCATTTCTGTCCCCAGGGAAGGGACAGGAGTGGGCTGGGACAAATGGGCAAAATAGAAATTGATGCTGACTAGGTTACATTTAAGATAATGAGGTGTTTTGGGAATGCAAGGGAAGGGGAGGTGAATCATAGTTTGGATTTAGGACACCTTGCAGGCTGGATGGAGGATGTAGCAGTGGTGTTGGTCTTGAGCAAGACAGGGAGCAGCTTATTGTCAGACACTCATCTGGAGATTCAGGCAGTGTAGAAAGAGTGATAAGGCCACTGGTGATAGTGTCGCCATGTGTCAGGGTTGGAGACAGTAAGGGACCCAGGGGCCAGGTTGTGTGTGCCAGGCTGATGAGCTGGCTCGATTCTCTGTATGGCTGGAGGCTTTCAAAGGATTTTGAATAGAGAGTGAATACAGCAGCAACGTGGTCAGGTTGAGTTTTGCAGACACTCAAAAGGGAATTTTATTATGATCGCAGGGGGATCAGTTACAACAGCAGTGACAGCAGCATAACAGCAAAAGGGCTGGTAAGCCAGGCATTAACCTGGTTTTAAAATCTTGGGAATTACAATCTTTTCTTGAGTGGATGACTCCACAGTTGGTATTGATCTGCTCTTGTGGTTATAACCCAGATTCTAGAGAGCCTCTGATGAAAGTTGGGGCAATGAACTGGGGGAGAAAGTGCCAAACAAGGACATGATTTAGGGGCTCTGCATCAAATATATGCAATGTACAAGTGTCTTAATATGTTTGTGGTACTGTAACAGAACACCTGAGACTAGTGATCGCTAAAAAACAGAAATTTATTCTCTCAGAGTTTTGGAAGCTGGGAAGCCCAAGATCAGGGCACCTACATCTGATGTGTGCTTTCTGGCCGTGTCATCACATGGTCAATATTGGAAGGCAAGAGAGAGCAAACGCACTCTCAGAAGCTTTTTTGACAGAAGCTTCAGGCTATTTGTGAGGATCACCCACTCATGACCTAAGCACCTCGCAGAAGGCCCCGCCTCCAAACACTGCCGCACTGGGGATTAGAGACCTCAGATGTGAATTCTGAAGGGGACCCATTCAAACCACAGCAGTGTCATTTTTTTTTTTCTGTGCTAGGGACATATGTACAGTCATTACTAGGCGTAGGAAGAATACATCTTTATTGCAGTGTTGGAACTAAAGGTCAGATTCAGTCAAAGTCAAAAGGTTACGTACTGTATGACCCCAAATATATGACAATCAAGGAAGGGTGTTTTTCTGAGACAACTGGAAATAGAGATGAAAATACTCAGAGCATTCCCAGTGTCAGAGCTGGGCTTGCTGAGGAAGGGTAATGTGTGGAACATTCTGGTTAAAAAAAAAAAAAAAAAGCAGGTTCAGAACTGAGCTTTTCCAGAGGAAGACTGGACTTATTCAGGTTCAGAGGTCACTGATAAGAGAATGAGGTGTCACGAGAAAATAGAGGAGGCCATGGTATCAGAATGTAATTCCACTCTGCCAGCAACTTTTCTTAAGAATGACCTTTTAGATATACCTGTCTATGAGTTTCTTTCCAAATTACAGTTTTGCATGATTGGTGTGAGTTAAAATTTGACTTCTGTACTGGTTGTTCATAGGAGTGTCCAAGCATGTTGGAGACGCCCTGAAAGCCCATTCTTCTAAGTCTTTGAGAAAAATCTGGACAGTTGGAATCCCTCCTTGGGGTGTCATTGAGAACCAGAGAGATCTTATTGGAAAAGATGTAAGTAGAGCATCCTTTTACAGCAGAAGGAAATGAGTGTGTATTCAAACTGCCTATGTATTCCAGCCTTCCTGCTACGCCCGAACCCTTATTTATTTATTTATTTATTTTTAATGTGCGTTTTTTACGTTTGTCTTGGGGAACTGGTACGTGTACACACCTTAGGCATTTCCACTTCCCCTTTCTCTCTTCACCCTCCTGACTCGCTCCATCCCAGAGTGACTTCCCAGCTCCATGAGCTCTTACCTCCCTGTTTCCTATCATCTCTCTTTTATTTTGATTTTAAAATTATTTACATTTTGGGTTTTTTTTTCAGCTTTAATTGAGTTTATTGGTACATTTTAGGGATACAGTACAGTTACATTCATTGTTGGGATCTTGTACCTCTGCATGACAGGTCTTGGTTCTCATTTTTTCCCCTTACCTCTGCCCTCCCTTCACCCCCCTCCCCTCCCCATCTACAGACACTTTATTTCCATCTTTTCATTATCTCACATTTTTTCTTTTCCCTTTTTACCTTCCCCTACCCGTCCCACCTTCCCTACATCTTTAGCTCCTTTCTTCCCATTTCTAAATGTCAGTAATCTTACTAGGATCTTCTGTATTACTGCAGATTATTCACACCAGAGAGACTATTCGGTATTTACACATGTGTGACTTATTTATTTCACTTAGGAGTATATCTTCAATATGTATCCATTTTCCTATGAATGAATCTATTTTCTCATTCTTTATGGCTGAGTAATATTCCATTTTATAGAACATTTGGGTGGGTTTTTAATGTAAGAGTATGTGATATTTAACCTTCTGTATATGATTTATTTCACTTAGTATTATGGTCTCCTGGAAATGTATTTTTCTAGAAATGACTCAAATTAATCCTCTTCAGGGTTGAGTAATACTCACCCCATTTTAGAAAACAACGATCCAGTCTTGCACTTGCTCAAGACAAAACCCCTGGTTAATTGTCATGCCTCAAACCTATCTTAGCTCTAAAATATAGCCATAATCTGACTTCTTCCGATTAACTCCACTGTGGGTTCAAGTGATCGTTAGCTGAGACTAATGACTGTAAGAACCTTTCCTCTTATTCTTGTCCCCATTGCAGTCTATTGTAGCCAGAATAGTCACAATGACTCTCTAAAATATTAATAAAAAATTGTGCTGTTCTTTTTGGTAAAACTCTGATGGCTTCTGACTGGCAAATAGCCACTATATTTGCTGTGGTGTGCATGAAGTCAAATGAGGTGCCTTCTCCATCTGGCCCTGACTAGCTCTCCTCCCTCGTCTCGTGTAACTTCTGCTTCATTCTTGTCCCAGTAGTGACTCCTGGAACCTACCTGTGTGTTCATCTATGGGCTTGGCCAAGTCTGTTTATAAGACGTACATGTTTTTATCAACTATTGGAAAAGCTACAAAGAGCGAAAATAATTACTGTTAATATTTTGGTGTGCTTTTGTTCCATAATTTTTTCTATGTATGCATATATATGTAGATTTAAAAAGTATGTTTTTAAAAGAGCAGCAATAGAAACTCACTACAAACTTGCTTAAAAAAAGTTTGACTTTATCACACTTATTTTTGTATGCCAACTAAGTAGAGATTCTTATGATGTATTTTAACTTTTATTTTGGAAATTTTCAAGCATATTGAATAGCAGAGAAATTAGAATAATGACTTACTGTGTATTGTCTCCCAGCTTCAGCATTTATTGATACATTCCCAATTGCATTTCCTCTGTCCCCTTATTCCTTTCCAAACCCTCTGCATTCTTCTTCTTATTATTATTGTTATTATTTTGAGACAGGGTCTCACTCTGCAGTTTAGGGTTGCTTGGAACTCACTATATAGCCCAGGCTTGCCTCGAACTTGTGATGATCCTCCTGCCTCAGCCTCCCTGGTGTTGGGATTATAGGCATGTGCCACCACGCCCGGCTTCTCTCTGTTATTTTGAGGCATTCTAGACATCAAATAACTTCATCCATACATATTTTCATAGATCTTTCTAAGCTATAGGAGCAATTTAAGAAAATATAAGGAAGAAGGGTTGAAAGGAGCGAAGAGGAATGGTAAAAGAAGAAGAATAAATATACTACGTATAGGTACAATGCCCTATGATAAATGTGATCCTTATATATGACAAATATGTACTAATAAATTTTTAAAAAAGGTAAGATGTGTCACCGTTGTGACCTGGGAGCATTCTCCTCATATATTATATATAATATATAATAATATGCATTATTATATATTTTATAAAGTTGTTATCATGACTAAAAATTAATAATTCCTGCATATTATCACTAATCCCGCATATCATCAGCTAATTCAAGTTTTTATTTGCTTATACTTCTTTTTTGTTTTTTCCTCATGTGCTGGCTGGCCTTTCATACCAGTGGGTTTTCTCAGGATATCTCATAGTTTCTAATAGTTTGATTTCTTTGTGCAAAAATATTCCATACATTGTAGTGCACTAATAAATAGGGTTGATTTTTCTTTTTTCTTTCTTTTTCGTCTACTTGTTTTTTTTTTTTTGGTAGTGGGGATCAAACTTGGGCCCTTGCACTTTTGAGGCAGGCAGCAGAACCACCACTGAGCGAAATCCCCGGCTGCTTTTTCTTTTCTTAAAGGAGGAAAGACTGAATTTAGCTCACATGTTAATATATTTTTTGTTCATTTTTTTCATTGAATGATTTCGTTTTTTCCTTCTTTTGTGTTAGCGCACGTTTGTGGTATAGTACATAATGACCCCATTCCTCGTGGGGAGTCGGTACATGGGCATAACACATCCATCTGTTGGCCTGTTCCCATGTTCGGTGTAACTGGCCCAGCTCCCAGTTCTCTGCACTACTGTTAATGTCACAAGGCTAATCTGGGACTGACATACAAAAGAAATTTGCTAATAGCAACAACTGTACAATCCTGGCAATATCAAGTAAATCAGCAATGGTTAACATCATCCAAGAAAACTGTGTTTATGTAACAATAGACTGAATAGTGGGCCACCCTTAACCTTAGAAATCTATAATTGCAGTATAAACAGAAAAATAAATCAAATCGTGACATGCAGCAAATATCTACTAAATGTGATAACTATTCCTCCATGAATAATAGAAAATATTTCAACAATGGTAACAGAATTTACTATCTAAAGATTAATGAAGCTTAATAGTTGTACTATTAATGATGTAGGGGGTTGGGATGGGAGATGCAAGAAGAAAAGTTAAACAATGCGCGATGAGAAGCAGAAAGTGACACAATGAATCCTGTTAAGGAGTAGAAGGATATTTATAGAATTAGGTAAAAGTAACCACCAACACCACAACAAAACAGACAGAAGATAAAATAAAAACGGGAGAAAAAATATGTAGAATAAAAAATAGAAAAAAGAAAAAAAAAAAGGGAAGAGAAAGAAAGGGGGAAAAATAAGGATTAAGAAAAAGCAAGAAGGGGCCCAGGGATTTAGCTCAGTGGTGCCACTGATCACCAAGCACAAGATCCAGAGTTCAAGCCCCGGTTCAAAGAAAAGCAAGAATGACAAACAAAACTCCTCCAAACCTCAATAAACCCGTGAAGAGACGAAAATGAATCCAGAAACAGAAAATGAAATAAAATAATTTGTATTTTTTAATGAATGGTTTTTGGTGGCCTGTGGGTTTGTGAGGGGCGTCCGATACCTCAGAGGCCCCTCTGTTAGCCGGGGCTGTGACGGTGTCATAAATAGGGACGGGGCCCGGATCTCAGATCTGGGCTGGATCTGGGCCACAGGGCGGCCGAGCAAAGGCACCTGACGCTGACTTCAAGCCCAGCTGTTTCTGAGCTGCCTCGGCTGTGGCTGCTCGCTCCAAGGCTGGGGCCGTGTCCTTCCCGGTGTGGGGGGTCTGCCCCTGTCCAGGCGTCTCCCACCAGTCATCGTGGGAGGCAGCTCTAGGAGCCCGGAAGTGAAGTTGCTTTTTAGTTATTCTGCGGCCCGGATTTAAATAATTCCTTCCTGAAGTGACAGTTGATTAAATACTCTCTGGTGACACTGTTATTGGGTAGTTCCTTTATAAATACAACTAAAAAATGAGGGATGAAGGGGTAAGGGAGAAACTGGCTGTGCAGAGCAAATTTGGGCCGAACAAGAGAGAAAAGGATAAAAAGCAAAAATAAAAGTGGACCCTATGCCTGGGAGACATAGAATTGAGTGGTGCTGGAGTCACCATTGTGGGCTCTGCCTGGCCTCGGGGTCCTTATCTGCCACCCACATCTCCAGGGAGCACGCCAGACTTCTACATACGGGACCCTGGGAATTATTTGGTGCTGTCCTGGGACAGGTCCCCCTTGTGTGGGAGCCTGTGCCTGAATCCCTCCCTGGCTGTTACCTGCCTTGTGGAAGGGGTTCCCTCTATGCAACACCATTGCTGTTCTTGCAGTTCAGAACAGCCGAGGGCTCTGTGCCATTTCTTCCTGCATCTCCCAACTCTGGGCCCTTACCTTGCTTCTGTTAAGCTGGGTTCCCCTACCACAAACCCAGAAGACAGTCCAGATTGATTCTTTTTCCTCCCCCACAACTTGCTTGGTGATCGTCTCTCCAACTGCTCTGTAGCTTCTAATTTCCTGCTGGTTCCTTCCGAGTCCCACCAATCTACTTCTCTTTTTTTCTTTCTAAGTTTTTTGTTCGTTTGTTTTGAGTCAGGGTCATTATGTAGTCAAGGCTGGCCTTGAATTCACAGCGGATCCTCCTGCCTCAGCCTTCTAACTGCTGGGATTACAGTCCTGCACCTCCATGCCCAGCTTTGCCATTTTTTCCCCTAGCACCTGGATTCCTGAGGGCAGAGTCTGAATTTTGCTGTCTCTCCACTATTTTCCTCCTCCTGAATTGAACTGAATTATTTTTTAATACCCTTTCTCTCATTTGTTTGTCATTTGTCCTAGGTTCCTGCAGTTTGGGTTCATATTTATCCTGTTCTCGCAGGTTTAGCGTGTTTCTCTGTCTCTTGTCTTGTACATTTATAATTTGACCCAGAAGGATGATCAGATTTTGACTCTTTTTGTGCAGGTTTATGCCATGGGAGGAGGTGTGTCTTTCTTTTATAGCATTTAATCATCCATCTTTGTATGCTGCTGGCACTGACAGCCTAGATTCATTATTTTAATAGGGTTGCAAATGCTGATATGTAATTATAGAGTTCTTACATTATTTATTAGCTTAAATAGTTTATAAAAAGAAATTTTCTTGTTAAACATGTATTTTATTTTGTGGTACACTTGCATGGGAAGGACAGAAAAAATGGATATTTTCCCTTTATTTGACAGTTCTGAAAATAAGGCTATGGCTTCCGGGTGTGTGCCTGTAAGCCCAGCACTTGGGAGGCTGAGGCAGGAGGATCACCATGAGTTTGAGGCCAGCCTGGGCTACATAGTGAGTTCAAGGCCTGCTTGGATTACATAGGGAGACCCTGTCTCAGAAACAACAAACAAAAAGCAACAAAACACTCAAAAAAAATCAAAATACCTTTATGGTTACTGTCTTAGTTCCTTTCTCTTATTGCTGAGATGCACTACCCCATACCCAAAGGTAAAGGAGGAAAGGGTGATTTGGTTTCCAGTTTGTAGAGGTCTATAATCGGCTGGCTCTGAGGCAGGGTGGCAGAGGGGCAGCAGGTCCTGGCTGCCGAAGGACAGCATAGGCAACGAGGGAGCGTAATAGCATCTTTCTGCCCCCTTTTCCCATCCAGACTACTGGGATTAAAGTGGTGCCCAACTAATCCCTGGAGTGTAGTGGTTTAGCAATCACATACCCTTAATCCCAGCATCGCACAGTCCAGGTTCAGCCTCCTCAAGCCGTGAGCGTTGAGGTTTGGGGGGACACCTGGACACGAGCCACAAAGGTGACTTACCACCCTCCAAAGACGAAGGATGAGTTTTCTTTTTAAACTCATGAATTTAAACCCGTTTGGTTTGTTTCAATCCACTGTAATGACGACTAGTATTCTTTTTGCTGCTCAAATGGTTCTCTCGGCTAGTACAGACTTTTTGTTTCCTGAGTCCTTTGACACAATCGACCCCCATTTGTACATGAGGAAAATAAGCCTGAGGAACGAGGCAGGGATTACTCAGAGTTAAATTTAGCCTGTACTTGGTCTTTCTGAGTAAATACCAAGTTTTTGCCTTTGTGTGGCAAATAAGAATTAGCAAAGATAAGGGTGTGTGTGTGAGGTGTCAATGGTACAGCACTTACCTAGCATGTGTGAGGCCCTGAGTTCAATCCCCAGTGCCAAAGAGAAAAAAATTAGAGCAGTTTAACATTTATAAATACATTTGTATGATCTTGATTTTCTTTTTTTTTTGTTCCGGGGATCAAACTTGGGTCCTTGCGCTTGCAAGGCAAGCCACTGAACTGCTGAGCTAAATCCCCGGCCCACATCTTGATGTTTTATACTGAATGAAATATGTGCTCAGCTGGTTGGCTGTTGTTCTTCATTTCATTGGGAATATTGGACAAAATCAGTGTCAAAATACTATTTTGAAATAGATCGACGGCAGTATTTTTTTGGATAGTAGTGCGCTCTATGTACTGATGCCAGCCCCCCCCCCATGCTCTGAAATGAGCTTAGAGACGGAAAAGGTATTTTTGGTCCATGTCAGTGCTGTGACTGCACTGTGACATCCGTGCAGGCTGGGGAGGCTTGTCCTGCGGCATACGGTGTGTGTTCCTGACTGATCTCGCGCGGCGACTCCCACGTACCGTGAGCTGCATACCAGTCCTACATACTAGGACTACGTGTTGAACCATAGGAAAAGAGAGTTAGAAGCAAGGGGTAGTTTTAAACCTGGCCTGGCCGGTCCGGCAGGGTGGGGAGGCAGACCTCTGGAGCAGCTGGCCCTGGCTGGGATCAGGCTCTGACCCGCTCTCGTCTTGCCGCCTCGGCTCCCAGGTGGTGTGCATGTACCAGACGCTGGGCAGCCCCATCAGCAAGCTCACCACACTCAACTGCGTGCACTCGCACTTCATCCTGTCTGACGACGGCACTGTGGGCAAGTACGGGAGTGAAATGAAGCTCAGGAGGAACCTGGAGAAGTACCTGTCCCTGCAGAAAATACACAGCTGTGAGTTCTTTGGGGCTGAGCCAGCGGGCCTGGCTAGGGGCCTGCTTAGGAGCAAGGAGCTCCATGGTCTTCCGTGTAAGTCGGCTCTTGAGGGATTTGGTTAACACACATGGTCCCAAAGCAGACATAATTCAGGGTAAAAGATGGCGCAGAATGTGGGTGACAGTGGGCGAGAGGAAGTCTTTGGAAGACAGTATAGTCCGGGGAGGCTTCGTGGAAGGGTGGAGGCATTAGCAAGGCCTCCAGAGTATTGACAGTTGGATGGAGGGAAGGGGAAATCCACGCGAGCCTCAGAGGCATGAGGGTCCGAGCTTTGATGGTCGTGGAAATGACATTTCATGTGTGGGTGGGGTAGGGAAGGGGTGAAAACCTGACAGAGCTTTTAGAGATAAGCAGGCTACCTCAGGCTCGCAGCAGTGCTCTGAGGCAGCCGCCTTGGACTGGGGTTGTAGCTCAGTGGTAGAACACTCGCTGGGAATGTGTGTGGCCCTAGGTTTGATTCCAAGCACTGCAAACAAAATAATAAAGGAAAACAAAACAAGCAAGAAAATCCCAGGAGAAATGAAATACACAACTGTCTACATTTAAAAATTTTTGTTATTGCTGTGCCTTAATAAACCATTTCCTCCCATTTCATTAGGCTTTTATACGATGATACTATTAGCGTAACCATGACTGTGCCAGCTAGGACATTGTAAGTTCGCTTTTTAGTGATACGGAGGAAATAATAAGGAGGGGAGGTAGATGAAAAAGGAATGGAAGAAGATTATCAGTGCAGTGAAGTAGACAGAAGGAAGTATAACAGGCTCCCCATAGCCCTTGTGGAGTCTGGTGAAAAGACCCACGCGAAGCCCCCATGGCATCTGTCCCAATGTTTAAAAGCTTCAAAGCAAGCTAAGCTGTGCATGAAATGGAAAGGTTAAGTTTACGGTTATGGGCTTGGGGACGTGCTGAGCCGGAAGGTGACCGTGAGGCAGAGGCTCCCCTTCCCCCGCTGCTTCGCTTTCTCCCCTTGGCTCCACCCTGCATGTCAGGCTGGACGTGCACAGGGTCCCATGGGCTCCCCTTGTAAGGCAGAGCTCCGGCCCCATCTCTTGCTTTGACGAGCCTACCCTCGGAGAAGACATACCTGAGGCAGAGGCGTAAGGGACCCTGTAAACAGGGCCGGGAGTCCTGTGAACTCCAGGAGGTCGGGACAAGCCTTGAAGATTCCTCTCTGTGCAGGGTGGGGAAGGCCAGAGCACAGTCGCACTGGGGCCCTGCAGATGTGTGACCCAAAGTGAGGTCCTCCGGTGCTCAGGTGTGAGAAGAATGATGCGTGCCAATACTTCTTCTTTTGAAAAGTAAAAAATATTAGCTGGGCGTGATGGTGCACGCCTGTAATCCTCGCACTTGGGAGGCTGAGGCAGGAGGATCGCTGTGAGTTAGACACCAGCCTGGGCTACACAGTGAGTTCTAGGTCAGTCTAAACTACATAGTGAGACCCTGTCTCAAAAAACAAAACAAAACAAAACAAAATTGAACATGAATGCATGTGTGGCATTGAAACTTAAATGAGAAAACTATAAGATGCACAAAGTACTTTTACAACATTTCTCCAAGCCCTCCCCTCTGTTTTCCACTGTTAATATAGTTTGATGTATGTTCTTCCTGAATTATCTGGACATTTAGGCAACATTCTATACACGTGGCCAAATGCGAACATATATAAAATGGATAGCCATGTATGTGTAAGTTTTCAAAAATATGGGTGAAATGGATTATACATATCATTCTGTAACTTTTTTAATTTAATAACTCCTTTTGAGGGAAAGGTGTCATGGTTGTTCCTTTTTTTTTTCTTTTTGGTCTTCCTTATTTCAATAAAGTAATACATGATCACGATTAGAAATTTAAGCAGGGGCTGGAGGATTCAACTCAGTAATGCTGCTGCCTGCCTCACAAGTGCAAGGTCCCAAGTTCGATCCCTGGTAGCAAAACAAAAGAAATTTAAAGAGTAAAATGGAAAAATGGAGTCTACCAAAATGAAACATGTTGTAAAAGTCTTTGAAGGCTGCCCAGCCCATCTGATTTCTAGGAAATAGTCAACATTAAAAGTTTATAGAGGGCTGGGGATAGAAATCTGTGGTGGAGGATTTGCCTGGCGTGTGCAAAGTCCTGAGTTCAATCTCTAGGACTGCCAAAAAAAAAAAAAAGTTTATTGAATTGGCAAGGGCTTGATCATTCCGGGATTTCCCACAATGAAGAATTAAACTTCGGCCAGGCGCAGTGGCACGTTCCTGTCATCCAAGTACTCTGGGAGGCTAAAGCAGGAGGAATTGCAGGCCTGGGCAACTGAGCGGCTTAGTGACAACCTGTACTAAAAAAGTAAAAATCAAAAGGGCTGAGGATGTAGGTCAGTGGGAAGACCCTGGATTTAATCCCTAGATCAAAGAAAAAAAAAAAGCCTTTAGCTACCATTTTACTGGACAGAAGCTTCAAAACGTCCTCACTGAATTAATGCTTGAAGTCCAAGTTTCTGGCTTGGTCCTGATCCCATTTCTGGCTTGGATAAAGCAGAAGTTTGGCCGGTGTAAGTAATGACCACAAAGACTCATGTCCAGACACCAAAGGCCACATGGCTGAGATAGGAATGCTTTGTAACACTGTGGTATGTATTGTTTTTTATCTGAAGCAGGCTCTAGACAAGGGGTGCCCGTGGTGGGGCTGGTGGTGGAAGGAGGCCCCAATGTCATCCTTTCGGTGTGGGAGACCGTCAAGGACAAAGACCCCGTGGTGGTGTGTGAAGGCACGGGCAGAGCTGCCGACCTGCTGGCCCTCACCCACAAGCACTTAGCAGATGAAGGGTGAGTCATTGGACACTCCGGTGACCACTTTTCCATGCGTTTCTGTTCTTCTGGGTGTGCCTTTGTGTGGTTCACGTATCCTTGGAGGACAGTGGTTGAGCTTGGAATCTGTTTTTCAGTGTCTGTATTGTCCTGACCATTTACTTCTCTGCTAGGATGACAGAGATGAATAAAATTGGCTTCTTAGTGTTCCCCTAGCTCGCCCTTCATGTTTCAGTGTCCAGATCACCTGCAGATTTATTTGCCAAGTGGCAGGTTGTATTTATTTCAGGCTTTGATTCTTTCTCTTTTTCAAAGATAGTTTCTCTATCCCGTCTTATAGCTAGTGTGAATTCTTACAGCATTGGGAATGTGGTGTTTATGGTGCATAAATACAGTGCCTGAGAACTAAAATGGCAACTCCACTAATTAGTTTGGTAAACATTTATTCACTGCGTGCTTATGTTCTCTCAGCTTTCTGGGATCTCTTTCCTTATTCCTTCTCCCACCATTTAGCCCTCAGCCCTCTACTTCTAACCTCTACCCCACTCTTTTCTTACTCTCCCTTTTCTAGAGTTCTCTAGATGAGTAGTTCTTAAGCCTTTTAGAGTTTCACATCTGTTTGAGAATATGGCTGATAATTCTGGAGATTCACAGCCCTCAGGAAGTCTGTCCCTCAGCAACTCTGCCTCGAGAGCAGATCCAGCTTTCTCCTGAGCCCCTGCTCATTTGTTCTCTGGCAGAACTGTCCATAAAGACATTCTCAGAGAGGAAGGCCCATGGGTGTCTCCTACTGTGATTGCTGGTTTTGTCCCTTACCTGGATGGGGTCAGGTCATGACCATTTATTTCTGTGCCAGGACGCTGCGCCCGCAGGTGAAAGAGGAGATCATCTCTATTATTCAGAACGCTTTCAACTTCAGTCTCAAGCAGTCCAAGCACCTTTTCCAAATTCTAATGGAATGTATGGTGTACAAGGATTCTGTGAGTATTATGGGTTGATTACTCAAACTTACTGAAAAAAAAAAGTTCCCAGAATTGCAGTTTTTTCCATTGAGTTTATTGGTGCTTTTTAGGTATACAGTTCAGTTGCATTCATCACTGGGATCTTGTACCTTTACATGACAGGTCTTGGTTCTCATTTTTCCCCATACCCCTGCCCTCCCTTCACCCTCTCCGCTCTCCCCTATTTACAAAGACTTTGTTTCCATTTTTTCCTTTTTCCCATAGTTTTTCTTTTCCCTTATTTCCTTTTCCCTACCCTTCCAATTCCCCTACACCGCAGAATTGCAGTTTGGATCTTCACAATCTTTAAAATAGGGACTTTTCCCTTTTTTCACATGAACAGCTGTAACTGTATAGCTGTTCACTAGAATTTGAAGCTCACAGGAATGAACTTGGCTTCTTACTGCTTCATTGCCTCCTGTGCTTCAAATTCCAGGCTCCTTGGGGAAAAGCACTTAGATAGGATGAATATAGTATTAGAGAAAAGCTGTCAAACTCAACAAAAGTGGTAGGTAAACATTTCCAGGGAGGAAGTGAATGGTTCCCCGTCTTCAGTGAACTCAAGTCTGATGGGTTAGATGCCCGAGACACAGACTCCTGAGTAAACCCTGCAGGAGGTCATCGGGAATGTACCAGACAGTGGGAAATGTGAGAGTAAATTCTGGAATAGAAGACCGAGTCCACACGCGGGGCTACGACCATGATGTAGACAGTTTGAAAAGTGTGTAGTGTTCAGGTACAACAATCAACATTTTCATCCATGGCTTCTATTACTACGATAAATACGCAGGTATGGCATGATTCAAGTTGATCTTGCTGGGATTGGAAGACTGGACACGTTACTGGAAGGATACTGGTAACATAGTCCCCAGTCTTAAAAAAACAATTGAAAATGATCAGGCCAGACAAAGCAGGCAAAGCATATGGGAAAACATGCTGGTGACTTTTGCTAACCTCTAACAGCGATAGCACCAACCACCATGCTTATAATTAGCAGTGTACTTTCGAGTATATTTCTTCAGCTGCAATGGCCCCATGAGTGAGTTCCATATGCCCGTGGTGTATTTCCAGTTCAGAGATGTGAAACTGAAGGTCGGAGGATGCAGGCGAGGTGCACAGTCACGTAGTCAGGAAATGGCAGAGGTGAAAGCTGAGCTCGGAGATGCGGTCTTGCTCCCTGCCCAGGACACTTCGTGTTTCCCACAGCAGTGGAGTTTGGGTTCAGATAAGGCCATCAAGCTGTGGACTTAATGTGCAGAAGAATGGTTGGTCAAGAAGGGCCAGAGAAGGCAGCGGAGGATCTGCACCGTGCAGACTGTGTTCCGTTCCTGGACAGTTGGGGGTTGGTTTTTATCCAGTCCCATCTCGGAGATGGTAGGTGAAGAGAGGCGACTTTTATGTCTTTATGGTGCCATAGAGATTTTTCGGTGAACGCCTCTCACTTTGTGGCTGAGTAAGCTGTATTCAAGGGCGTTGAGATATTTACCCAAAGCTGGCTGGCTCGTGGCCTACCTGGGAGTCGGATTTGCTACTTCTGGTTCTTTTCTGTTACGCCAGCTTCCTGTACTGTGTGAAATGTGTATTCATTTCCAGGTGACTCTTTATAAATCTTTATTTGTCCTTTAAAAAGTCACCTACAAACCAGGATGACTGAGGTACACTGTGAAGACTGCTGTTCAGTGCACTCACTTGCTGGACCCATTGTCATGGTCACGTGTACTTGGGAAGACGAACGCTTAAGGGTGCAATAGTCTTAGTTCACCGGTGCAGGTGAGCAGCAGGATCTCATGTGGGATCTCTTCCAAAGGAAGATGATTTTATTAACATTAGGAATTAACAGTGAGTTTCTTCCCTTTGTAGCACACACATAGAAAATTCTAGTATATGTGGAACTTTTGAAGTGTCATTTTTTTCCAGTTGCCTGCAACTTTTTGTCACCCCGTTTCAAAAGTTTCCTCTTTTATAAGTAAAACAAAACAGCAAACAAAATCCTCTGTCTTGTTTTGAAATCACAAAATGAGGAATAGTTTCCTTAATTCATTAGCTTAAAATGTTAAGTTCTGCAGGGGTTGTTTGAGAGTATTTCTTTGCTCTTTTCCCAAATGTCAGGCTTTCTGTTTTTCACCATTGTAGATCACCATATTTGATGCCGACTCAGAAGAGCATCAAGACCTGGACTTGGCAATCCTGACAGCACTGCTGAAAGGTAGGTAACTGAAGAGATTTGCAGCCCTTCGCTTTCTATTCTGACGTCCCAGGCAGCGTGTGCCTTGGTTGTTGTTGACATACCTTGAATAGCACATGACTGTTCCTTTCTTTTACCCCAGGCACAAGCTTATCAGCTTTGGAGCAACTAAATCTAACGATGGCTTGGGACAGGGTGGACATTGCCAAGAAACACATCTTAATTTGCGGACCACATTGGAAGGTAGAGTGAAAATGAAGTGATTTGGAAAAAATATGCTGTGTGTTGGCTTGTTAGGGAGGGACAAAGAGAACACTGGCAGGTGATTGGTTTGGGAGGAGATGGGAGTTGCATCTTCATAGCAGGGCTTCCAGGGACGGCTAACACTTCTCTCTCCTCTACTCTTCTCCTTGAAAATGTTTTCCTCCGTCTCTCCAGCCTAACTGAAAGTGAAAGGGGAAGTTGGAGAGAAAATGGAACGCAAGGGTTTATTATTTATTTTTGAATGGGTACATTGTAGCACTTCAAATTTAAAAGCCATATTTAATATACCTTAAAAGCTGTATTTTTTGACATACAAAATGTGTTCACAGTAGAAGTCAGTAAAAAAGAAAAAAATGTTGCCTGTAATGCTAATCACCATTAATATTTCATTTAAAGAAATTAAAGTTGTAATTCTACTAAAGGTATGTTTGGGTCAAGCTAATGAGTAAACATTGTAAGACATCAAATTACATTAACGACTTCTCAAAAAGTACTTTCCTGGCGCAGTGAGTCCACTGTTTTTGACATTTTAAAACCATCCTAGCATTTAGCATTTATAGAATTTCTGTTTCTAGATAGGGAATTTCTGTTTCTAGATAGGGTCACACACCTGTCTTCTTTTTTCTTTTTTTGTACCAGGGATTGAACTCAGGTCCTTGCGATTGCGAGGCAGGTGGTGGCAGCACTGAGCTAAATCCCCAACCCTACATACCTGTCTTCTGATTCATCCATTCTAGAAATCTCTGGACTTCTCTGTACCGGAGGGAGGGAGGGAGGGTGTTGCGTAGCCGCAGTGTGTGTGTGTGTGTGTGTGTGTGGGTTGTTTCCTCTCCCCAGTACGTGGCTGTAGTGCAGGGAGGACCCTGAATTACCTCGGTGCCCCTGTGCTGTGTCTGAGGACTTCCTCTTTCTTAGTTTACATCTTTATGTTGATGGCGTACATTTTCAGTAACTTCTGAGAAAGGGAGTATGGAGCATAAATATTTTGAGGGCCTATTTGGCTACATTTTAACTTGTGATTAGAACTGGTTTTTCTCCAGAATTCTAAAAGCATAACATTGCTCTGGAGAAGTACACGTATTTCTGTTTTGCAGAGCCTTTGTTTCTGCCGTTTTCCCTCTAATCTGGAAATTTAAAAAATGTCATCTTTTTTCTGGCGACGGAACCACTCAGCTAACTCCCCGGCTTTTCAGGTGTTCTGAGATGTCACAGATGAGATGCCTGTCATTGTGTCTGAACATCCGTTATTTCAGACACGAGATTTCAGCTCGACATTCACGTTTTCCTTCCATTCACTTGTTTTCTCTTTTTTCCCCCTGGAGTCCTATACTCTGAGTGTTGAACCACATACACTGCTTCTCTAATCCTCTTATCTTTTTTTCTATTATGTTCTATATCTTTTGTTGATTTTTTTCTACTTTAATTTTTAAGACTTCTATGAAGCTTTTCTTTTCTAGCAGAATATACTTAATACAGTAATTTCCTAGGAGCCGATTTGTTCTCTGGTTGTATTGTCTTCCTTTGTGAATTCATTTGTGTTGGAACGTCTCTCATTTTATCTGTCCCAAGATATTGACAGTGAGTCTTTTGAAGTTTTCTTCCTGCATTATCTGATTTCTCTGGTGGATGTTTTACGATCTGTGTGCTTTGATCCTTCTGTTTAAGAGTGTGGGACAGGAAGCCCCCTAGAGCTGCTGGGCCTGTAGTTGGAGATTTACAGTAGGTTGAACTGATTTGTTCACTGAGGGCTGCTTCCCAGTACCAGCATACTTGTGTCCTTTCTCTTGCACTGGTGATACTACCAGATAAGAGTCCTCTGGGCCCCGCCTGAAAGGCAAAGCCCTGTTGCTCCCATAATGGGAGTTATTAGGGACGGTGGCTGAGAAGGTCCACAACACCGGGGAGTCAGCATGTATGCATCGATTTCATTTTGGCGCTGCTGGAATTATATGGCATATGTATTTTCAGCTTTTGTCATTTCCCACTTCACTGTCTGCCTTTCTGGGGGCTGTGAAGTCAGTTGTCATTTGACCAACAGCTTTCCACCTTCCGAAACCTGAACGCTTTGTCTCCCCTCTTGTTAACCTTGTGTTCATGGATTTCTTAAAAAACAAACCAACAAACCAACAAACTGCTGCAGTATTAATGGAATTTTATGTGGAAGTAGCAGTGGGGCAGCGTGTTCACCTTGTTATTTATACTCAGATATCAAGTAAGGTTTAAATGGAAACATGGTCTTACTTACCACAGCAGAAAATGAACAGCAGCAGCAGCGACAGCAAGCAAACAAAAACAAAAATTTTGAATTTTTATTGGAATTTTGTAAGCCTGCCCATTATTTGGGGGAGCTTTGAGATCTTTAAAATACTCAGTTTTCCGATCCAACAGCATGAGATGTTTCTTGATTTATTCGGATATCTTCACTCAGGGCCTGCGCGGTTCTGAGATTATATTTTATAATTATCACATCTGGGTAGATTTGAGTTCCAGTCCATGTACTTCTTTAGTTATTTTGACTTTATTAACTGTCTTTGGGTGTCTCTGTTCTACCTTCCGAAGACTGGCATGCTGGAGCAAGCAATGTTAGACGCTTTGGTGATGGATCGCGTGGATTTTGTGAAGCTCTTAATTGAAAACGGAGTGAACCTTCATCGCTTTCTTACCATCCCCCGATTAGAAGACCTCTATAACACAGTGAGTAGGGAGCATCTCACCAGTCATACCCCTGTGGTTTATTTATTAATTAGCATCAGATTCAACTGTCTCCTCGAATGTTCATGTACAAAGATAGTTTATAGAGAGAGACTTTCAACCCAATGAGAAATATTCTTACCAACTTCTTTTATTCTATTAAGAAATAAACACAAAGATATGAGTAAGGACAAATTGCTTTTTATTGAGTTATTTGAACATAACATAAGGCCGCTATTAAAATGTTGTTCCATGGGTCGGGGATTTAGCTCAGTGGTTCCGATACCTGCCACACAAGTGCAAGGTCTGGAGTTCAATCCCCGGTATCAAAAAAAAAAAAAAGAAAAAGAAAAAAAAGTTGTTCCTGCTGGCTCTGGTGGTGCATGCCTAGAATCTCAGTACTCAGGAGGCTGAGGCAGGAGGATTACGATGGGTTTGAGGCCGGCCTGGGCTACATAGTGAGACACTGTCTCAAAACAACAGCAGCAACAAAAATGTTCTGCAACTGCCCTGTGAAAACCTCTGTTAAAACTAATTATAAAAACTCCACTTAGGCAATTGATATATCCTTCCTTGTTTTTTGAGTATTACTTTTTTCGAACCTATCAAGTCCTGTCGTCTGTTGTCTTGACTACTCCAGGTAGTTCACAGTGTTTAGCACACACACTGTCATATTTTTGGCTAGTTTTTAGTGTAAGTACTCATTCTTTCTATTACTGTAAGCCCTCCCATCTCCTAGAGACTTTATTTAACATTGTGTGGTTTCATAACTAGCTGATGATGGAATGCTTTTGTGTGGGATTTGTAATTATGTGATAATGTTTATGCATGAGAAAGGATAGCTATAAATTGCTTGCACTTTATTGCTGCTTTTTACTATGTAGAATCAACTCTCTGCATATATACATTTTGCTTTGAAAAACATTTCGTCTAACCACATTTTCTCTTGGGAAACTCCTTAAAATGAACTAGCTGCAGCTTCATTATTAAAAATGTTGAACAAAAATTGTCCCTATTCTGAATTGAATTGAAATGGTGCCCCTGCAGCACCTGGAAATTAAAGGGGATTAATTCTTTCTTTTCTTCTTTCTCACAGAAACAAGGGCCAACTAACATGCTCTTGCATCATCTTGTCCAAGACGTGAAACAGGTAATGTAACCGGGGAGGAGTGAACATACAGATTTTGTGTATTGCCTTAGCTGTGTGATGAAGCAATTAGCAAATTTGGCTTTGTAAAATGCAGGTTTGAATTTTCTAGTGAATTACGTATGCTTTTTACATGATTTCACCACAAAACTGTACTCTTAGATTTTCCCCTAATTTACCTAGGTTTTTAAAGTGCTGATCCACCAAGTAAATGATATTAGATAATAAAACACATGAGCAGCAGTTAGAGTCGACTTCAGCTTAGCGCGGTACAGCCTTAGCTGACTCTGCCGTCAGCGCCTGCTGAACTAGAGAACTGTGTGGCTCTGTTGTCTTCGTCAGAGGCTCGGAGTGTGATTTCCCTAGCTTTCCACGTCATTGTTTTGAATATTAGTGACAGCTCAGGGATGCTATCATCTCTTCTGTGAGTCTAGGCTTTGTTCTAGGGAATCAGGAGGGATCCCCTACTCAGCCATCTCACTCATGGTGTCCCCATTCGACTTGAGTTAGGTCAAACTTGAAATTGGAATGGCTTTTTGTTTGTTACTATGGTTCATATCCACCTGAGGCACGTTTTAAGTTCTACTCTAATTTTCCTGGAGTCTAGTATGCTGTTAGCATGTGGACCTTCTGCTTATGCTGAATTGGTGGGAGAGTGAGGGAAACATTTCCTTGGCAAATTTGGAGTAAGAAAAAACATCCATGCTGATGGGAATTTAGTTTATATTAATTTATTCTATACTAAAATGGTTTTCCTTAAATTATTTCCTCTAACTTTATCATAACAAACTGAAGAAAAGGGACAAATTGTGTTAAATGTGCTTGTAACTAGCAGCAGAAAAGAATATTACTCTGAGCTGGGTGTGGAGGCACACACCTGTAATTCCAGCACTCGGGAGGCTGAGGCAGGAGGATCACTGTGAGTTTGAGACCACGCTGGGCTACATAGTGAGTTCCAGGTCAGTCTCAACTACATAGTGAGACCCTGTCTCAAAACAACAACAACAACAAAACAAAACAAAGCAAAAAATAATATTATTTTGGCTGCTGCTTGAAAAAATAAGTTACAAATGTGAAAAAGAGCAGACTTAATTTTAAGGAGTTTCCCAAGAGAAAATGTGGTTAGATGAAGTGTTTTTCAAAGCAAAATGTATATATGCAGATAGTTAACTCTACAGAGAGCCACACAGTTTTCTGGTTCAGCAGGTGCTGACGGCAGAGTCAACTAAGGGTGTACCATGCTAAGCTGCAGCCGACTCTAACTGCTGTTCATATCTTTTATTATCTAAAGTCATTTACTTGATGGATCAACACTTTAAAAGCATAAAAGTAAATTAGGGGAAAATGTAAGAGAATGGTTTTGTGATGAAATTCTGTAAAAAGTGTACATAACTTAATGCGGTTTTATTTCTTATTCATAGCTTTGTGAATATTACTCACAGTCTTCCCATTTTAGAGACCTTGTCTGGCACTCTGGGTGCCTTAAAAATTTACTGTGAATGGCAGTTGAGAACTGAAGGAACTCATGGGACATTTGTCTAAGATGTCAAAGCAGTGTTCCTTTAGAACAAGATCTATGTACTTGGAAACCTAGCACTGAGCTCGTTTGTCAGCCAAATGTTTGTCTTGGCATAGCCTAATTGTTTGATATCACATTTGGCTCTTTAACCTGTGCTCCTTGTTTTTATTTGCTCTACTTCTTTTCATGCTTTTGTTTCCCATCAGGTGTAGCCAGCACAGTGCAAAGGGTTACAGCCATTTCAACAGTGAGGTGGAAAGTTAACTCTGTGCTAATTTTGGATTAAATGCATTCACCCTAAGCATCAGGATTTTACTTTGTAATTATGTAATTTCTATCTGTGAAGCAATTTTTATACTGGATTTAAATGTGTTTTATTCGCCTGTGTGTGTGTGTGTGTGTGTGTGTGTGTGTGTGTGTGTGTGTATGTTTGCCTGCATAATAAGGGGAAGGAAAATAGAGACAGAGGTGAAGAAAGCACACAGATGTAAGAATGCATTTGATACCCAAAAAAGCATATTAAGGCTAAGATATTTTTACTTCTGAACAAGCAGACTGTGTCAATAGATGGCCGTATTAATCAAGCAGTTTGCAAAGCTGATGAAAAAGTTTACCCCGGGGCCAGGGATTTAGCTCAGTGGTACCAAAGCCTGCCTTGCAAGGTACAAGGTCCGGAGCTTGATCCCCAGTGCCAAACAAACAAAAAAAAAACAAAACAGCAAAACAAACTAAATGAAGCTCATCTCTTGGCAATTAATTTAGTTATGTTTGGATAGCATGAAAAATGAGACAGAAAAAGCGATCTAACAGTTTTAATTCATTGCATGTTTTTATTACAGCACACCCTTCTTTCTGGCTACAAAATAACACTGATTGACATTGGGCTGGTAGTAGAATACCTCATTGGTGGAGCCTACCGCAGCAGCTACACTAGGAAATCTTTCAGAGTCCTGTACAACAACCTCTATAGAAAAAAGAAGGTAAAATAATTGACAAGTCCCCTAGTACTTAGCTGTGGTGGCACCTGCTTGGGAAGTTGAAGCAGGAGGATCTGAGTTTTGGGACTGGCTTAGGGAACTTAGCCACTTAGCTAGACACTGTCTTGAAAAGAGAGGTGAGGGGATTAACAGTGTAGCTTAGAGTGAAGGCCCTGGTTTCAATCTCTAGTACCACTGGGGAAGCGGAGAAGAGTACTTTAGTGAAACTAAGGGTAATTAGTGATCATAATTAGACAGTCTGTTTGTAGACAGTTGTAAACTGCTATATGCAAAGTACTGCGTAAGTGACGTCACATAGGTAAGGAATGAACATAAAGATCAGGCATTTAGAAACTTCTAGAAGAAGGTTTATGAATAGCTACTCAGAAACAGATTTATAATAACTACTTTAAGGATATAAGACTCAAATTGCTCAGTAGATTAGCAGAGAAAACATTGCATGTTTCTTAAAGTTATCGTTACTTATTAGGAGCCGAAGGAGCCTGATTGTTACTGGAAGATGAGGCCAAGGTTAGCAAAGAAAGTTGTGGGGGAGTTAGTTGAGAGCAGGAGCAGGGATGGACGCAGCTTGCAGAAATCAGCATGTGTTTTGTGTTTTGATAAGGAGGTCGTGAAGGATGAGACTAGAAAGGTGTTTTGATGTGAGATCGCCCCAAGAGCACTGGCTATCTAGCCTTCACTTTTAAAGGAGCAGGAACGAAAGCCCACTTCACTGTAGGAAGTGAAAGATGCTTATTTAAAGGAAATATCCATTGCTTGGAGGTCTCCTGTGGCCGTAGGAGGACCGTGGCCTTGTGCAGCCCAGTGTGGAGCTTCCTACAGAAGTTCTCCTCATGTGCTTTCTAGTGAGGGGCCACCAGTATGAAATTAGCTGCTTTTCCGATTACATTTCAGTGAGGTAGGACAAAGTTTATTGAGTTTCATAGTAGATTGCTACCCAGAACAGTCACAAGTACATGACTTGGAATCTGAGAGATCTGAGATCGAATCTTAGTTTTGTTCCTTGCAGGCACATGTTTGCATCAGCTCTCCCTCACTGACTAAATACCTGCCAGTAATAACTGGAAGGAGGGAAGATTTAGTTTGGTTCATGGTAGAGAGATTCAGCCTCTGGCCAGCTGGTTCTGTTGCTGTGGGCCTCAGATGAGGCAGAACGTCAGGAAAGAAAGTGTAATGGAACAAACCTGCTCTCCTGGAAGCTGGGGAGAAGAGAGAGGCGCGGAGTTGGAGAGGAAGGGATGAGGGTCTAGAAACAGCCCCCAGTATCATGCCTCCGTGATCTACTTCCCTCGGCTAGCACGAGCCTCCATTTCCATCACTCCCCAATAATGCCAGCCAATCTCGAGCTGATCGAGATGACTCCGCTGATGAAGACAGAGCTGGAATAATCCAGTCACTCTCCAAAGGCCCATCGGCATCAGACCTTCAGTACGACAAGCTTTTCTGAAGGACATTTTGGATCCCGACCATAATGTATAATCTTGAGTAACAAACCCGACCTTTCTGTGTGTCAGTTTCCTCACCTAAGAGTGGGAATGTTAATATTCCTTTCATAAACTTGTCAGAAGGATTAATTACACAATCCCTGAAAAATCCACATTGCGGGTACACAGTGGGTATTGAGTAACTGTTAGTGATCATAGTCATTATTGGCTCTTTGCCATAAGGATAACTATTAATTCTATGCCTCAATAATAATGACAATAATTTGAGTCTTGAGCTCATTGTTTCTGTGACCAGTTTTTAATCCATAAACACAAATTGAGGATATATAGAGCAGTCCCAAATTTGTAGGTCGCATCTTATAAATTTATGTCAGTCCTTTCGAAAAGGTTTCTTCCGTTCTTGTTTCTTGTCAGTGAAAGCGTCATGCTGATAGAATGACTGATGTTGTTATTGGGCCTAACCACCTGAACCACAGTGGAGTTATTGTGTAACACCTGGAGGAACTCCATGACTTTCTAAGTTCATCGCAACCACACAGCCATTTGTGAATGGGAACTTCTCTTATCAGAACCATAAATCTTTATTGCCCGTTTTATACTTCTAAAGATAGCGTAACCAGTGATTGTGTTGTGATTTTCACCTAGCAATGGAATGCAGTTATATAATGGGGGGGGACACTAGAGTATGTTCTCTGAGATGTTAGGAAGTAACTGTGCATAAGGGCTGGAGATTTAGCTCAGTGGTGCCACCGTCTGGCTTGAAAGTGCAAGGTTTGATCACTGTTACAAAAAAAAAAAAAAAAAAAAAACCTGAAACAAAAATCAGTGTGCCTAAGAAGGAGACCATGAGAGATTCTTGTTGGGTAAGTAATTACTTTCCAGGGATATTATTTGCTTATCATGGAGGAGATATAGGATCATTGGATATTTGATAGGAAACAATATTATATTTTGCTTTCATTGTTATCTATTCTTTTTCTCTCATTTTATTCAAAAAATTGAATAACAACATATGCAGAGTGTGACCAGCTTAGCTCAGAGCCTTTGCCAGCACTCCCCTCACCAGAGGCACTCTTCAGAAAATAGAAGAGAGTCCGCAGAAAGCACATTGCATTCCCAGTTCTGCAGAACGGCCCAGCCTTACAAACTCAAGGTACCATGCACTTGCTTCTGGAGTTGGAAATAACACTGTGTTTTGCAGACTGAGATTTTTTTTTCAATTAAAGCTGGAGCAAGAGAGGTACAAATAGAGGAAGCGTTTACAGGTACCATGAACAGGTGGCACAAGTCAAAAGCATAATGCAGCTGTCCTCTTCCCACAGTGGACAGAGGCCCGTGATGTAGCACTGGCGACTAAGTGATTGTTTTGGCTTGCACTTCGGTTTTTCTTCCTCGCTCCTTCCTCTGCCCTGTCCAGACAGTGACTCAGGCAGGCAGTCTACACAGGGGTATTAAAGATTTGTGATCATGACTCTAATACCACACACCCTTGTCTTCGTTAACCCAAGACTAGTTGGGCATGAGGGCTGTTCTTTCTTTTCTGTTTTCTCAAATTGTCCCTTTGTAACTTCTCTTTTGAAGCTTTTTTGAAATGCATTTTAGCCTAATGTTACAGTATAACAATGATAACAAGCGTGTGTGCGTGCACACACACATGTGTATGTGTGTGTGTATGTGTGTGTGCTTTTCATGCATATACATACGTACAACTTGGCTATTCCTCCTCTTCCTCACCCCCTCAATCCCACTTTCTTCTGGGGGTAAGTACTTTGTCCATTTAATAAACGCTTGTCAGGTTGGCTGAAAAGGGTTTGCTTTGTAGGGATTCTGGGGTGCAAAGATACCTAGTTATCTTTGGCCATCATCAATAAACACAGATTCCCTTTATTTATGGAAACAGAAAAAAAATTACGATCGTTTGGCTGTGATCCCTCCAATTACAGAGAGCAATTCTGAACCTTTGTTATTTTTCAGGCATTATACCAAGTATTTGGTTGAATTTGGGAGATGGGCAGGTAGGGACAGATGTGATGACTGAGAAGTGGCCCCCTGCCCCCCAAGGTAATAGCGTGCAGCATGAAGGGCACCAAAGCACAGGCAGGAAGTGGTGAGGAAGCACATGGGGTTACAGTGGCATCTGCAGTGAGCTGAAGAGGCTGAGCTTCCCTGAGAGAGAACACTTCATTGCTGTTTATTGTCCTCACTAGAGAAATAGAATAGAAGAAAGAAAACATAAGACCAGTGTAGTTGGATGCATGTTGGCAACACTAGTGATATTTCTTCCAAAGGGAAGGTGGTGATTCTATTTGCTAAGGTGAGGTTAAAATAAAAAAAAAATAATAATTCTTGTTTATACAATGTGCTACTTCAACACATTGCTTGGAGAAATGAAAGGTTGTCATATAGTTACTGTCCCAAAGCAATACTGATTTAAATTAGGCTAAATTAACTTGAGATAGGGCCGGGGATTTAGCTCCGCTGTTTGGTGGCCTGCCTCGCAAGCGCAAGGACCCGAGTTCAATCCCCGGTACCAAAA